CACATATATATATATATATATATATATATATACATATATATATATATATATATATATATATATATATATATATATAATAGAGTCTTCAGGTATGCTATATTTCAATCAGAGATTGAGCGTATGTAAATATAAAAGACATGTCCTGAAGTTTGCGTTCAAGCATAAAACAAGATTGTTGCCTCTTGGTCTTCAGCACACACACACACACATATATATATATATATATATATATATATATATATATCTTTTTACGATACCACTTTATATTCTCTTTTATTTCACTTCTTTCTTTCGCTATTAACATTTCGCTATCCTCTTATCAATTGTGTTTTTTGTTCGTCTCATCTTGCGAGTGAACATTGTTAAAATGGACTATTGTTGAATTCTTAGGCGCCCAAATCGTCGGTCGTATTCTAAAGGTACATACCCCTGTCTGTCCATGAATTCCTTGCCGCGTAGATAGGGACACGGCGTCGGGTAATGGTTAACGAAGATAGTCTTGAACATAACTACCGAGTATGAAGCTCAGCATTCATCCGGTACCCTGTACAATAATTTGTCATTAAATAACTCACCAAGGTTTTATATGACGCTAAATCAACCACCCTAACATTTTATGTAAATTTTCTATTTGAAAACTTTTACTTTCTCTGTGTTTGTTAAAAGATTTACGGATAAATCTTATCGGCTACTGGTGGAACAAATCCACTCTTTTGCGACAAGTCGTCATCTCAAAAAGTAATTATTCACTTTAACTGTGTCTGACAGAAGTTAACTAATATTAGGAACGCAATGAAGGTAATTGCCGTTAATCAACAACTCTGGGTCGTCTGCTTAATCTCTAAACTGGAAACCCACAAAGCGTATGGACTTGATGATATCCCTGCAAAAGTTCTCTCTTTAAACTTAATAATAAATTCCTTGCAGCTTCTCACTTTCCTGTTTGTTGGAAATCCATTTCTGTAGTTTCAGTATTTAAGAACTCGGGCGAACCATCTTGATCCTTCTATCGGCCTATTAGCCTTCTACTTCTTTTGGCAAACTAGCAAAGGTTCTAATTAACTCTGAATTGGTTAAACATCTTACATTACAAGGTCTTCTTACAAATAAGTAATATGACTTTCATTTCTCTGGGTTAACTGCTGATGTATTAACGATTATTGCTGAAAGTGTCTATCACAACAGACAGCCTATTTGTGTCTGCTCGCAATAATTGTGAACATGTCCTCAAAGAGGTAAAGTTTTTGTTTGCTGATAGAATGAGGCACCGTAGGGCCTCTAAAAAGCTTGGATCACTACTGGCGGCTCTGTAATAAATAGATTAAATAAGATTAAGTTTTCTATTCCTTTTCTCTTCACTCAATTGGAAGTGTTAACATCTGCTTATAAAGCAGAATGTTTTGCTCGTAAATTCTCTTCAAATTCTACTCTTGACTCATTTGGAGTATCTTTGCTTGACTGAAAAAAACATCTGAGAGCAGAAAATGTCTGAAGTTAAATAGCCAAACAGTGAAGAAGTTGTAATGTCAGTGGGCAAAAGTGAATAAAATTCAGAAAACTTGCGTTCAAATGCAATGAGTAATAAAATACAAACGTGGTTATTTCATTTCTCTAATTCGGCAAGATTCTACAGAGTCTTTATTTTTGCCATCATTAGAGTGATTTAAAATTCTGATGTATTTTTTTAATTCATTATATAAACAATTAAAGCAATGAATTAAGAATGACACAAATTTATAATTATTTGTATTTAGTAGTTACAAAGTGATTTCTCCCAGGAATTGGTTAGTTAAGTATCAAATCTTGTAACTTGTACTGTGACATTGTCTAGATTGGAATACTAGCGCCATACAAGATACTGATGTGTGCACAAACTAACAATTTCATGAGAAAAAGTACTTACACTTACACTACATAAAAACCAGCTGCGAGAAAGGAAAACAGGATGTAATTTCTAAGAAAAAATGAAATTGTTTCAACGAAAAATATAAGCAAATTAAGAGAAAGAGTTCGTTGTTCTTGCCCGTCTTTTTGTAAATTAGGTTAGATTAGCTTGGTTATAGGTTATTTAATCTTTAAAACTACTGAAGTTATTATGCAAATCATATAAACCTAACTTTCTCGAATTTGCTTTGAAAAACTTTGGTTAAATTTTACACGACTAATTTAGACGTCAAATGTGAAATTTGAATTAAATTTTTAGTTAGTTTCAAGATGTTTTATTAAGGTTATTGGATTTATTATTTACACAAAAAAAAACTACAGTTTAAAGTAATATTAGTTTATGGCCTCTGAAATCTAATATAACTATATATATTTTTTTAATATATGTTGAAACATGTAATGAAAAGAATCTAAGAAATGCTGAAAAGCAGGGAATGACATAAAGTTATTGAGTGACGGAAAGTTCACATTGGAGATATCAAAGGAACTTCGTAGAAATCATCGAACGATAAAGAAGGCTTTTGAAAATATAACTAATTTAAGAACAAAAAGCAAAAGAAAAGGATTAAGAACTTGTCTCGTCGAGCGGGGGGAAGGTAAACTAAAACGAATATCAGCGAAACAATCACTTTTGACCAGTATTCAGAACTTTGAATAGGCGGGAATTGAAAGAGTCAAGAAAGACAAAAGATGTAGAATGCTGCGCAAATTGGAATCTGTCAAGAAATCTCCTAGTCAAATTCTACTGAGTAAAGCAAATATTTTAAAGCGACAAAATTGGGCCTAGAAGTATTGACTTTTTAAAAATAATTTTCAAGAATGAATCTCAGGTAACACTCGATAGACCTGATGGATGGGCCAAAGAATAGATTTTATCCAATGCAGATGTGTCTGTTGCTAAAAGAAAACCGCAAGGAAGCGACAATGTGATGATATGGACTGGAATTATCGACCAAACCATTATTGGACCATTCAAAATCGATAAAAGAATTAAACTGAACAGTGCTAACTATTACAATTTCATGGACAAGATTTTCTTTGAATGGCACAAATCCCAGCCTCGCAGTAGCAAAGTGAAGTGTGTATTTATGCATAACAATGCCACTTCTCATGTGTCTAGGGTTACCCGTGAATTTCTGAGCATATAGGGTTTACAAGAGAGAAGATAATGGAATTGCAATTATCACGTCCTTATCTGAATCTGACCAAAAATCTATGGTCAATTGGGAAGATGAAATTCTATGAAGATGGCAAACAACACGAAAAGCAAATCTATAGGAAGCGATTAAAAGTGCCATATTGAAAATTGAAGAAGGGTCACTATATTAAGATGTAAATGCTTCAAAGACTTATCATATATATTTCTTATTTGTTCTATTATAGATGTTGATTAATTGTTGATGATTTTATTTCCTTGTTATTGAAGTAAAAAGTGATTTTTTGGTTTGCCATAACTTCAGATTGCAGCTTTTTTTGGAATAAATGCATTAACTTTAATAAAATATGTTGAAACTTCCTAAAAATGTAACTGAAGCCTTATTTTGACGCCTAAATTAAGTTTAAAAGTTAACAAAAATCATTCAAAGCAAATTCGAGTTATTGAGATTTATATGATTTGCATAATAACTTCAGACGAGTTTTCTATTTCTTTATATATTAGAATTAAAATCATTACGCAGTTGACTTAATTCGCTTAATTTTGGTAGTTTTAGAAAATACCCCATATCCGCCTGGATTCAGTCTACATTGACGGCTTCTTTTTTCCATATATTAAGACTACTTTGCTTAAAATTGGTATCGTCTTAATTACAGATAAACACCTGGAAATGTTCTAACATATTTCAGTGAAAGTTTCACTTTCCAAATTTATTGTTTATAATTATAATTTAGAAAACAGACGAAGACGTCAGTTTAAACTTACGCCAGGAGTATAAGGGTTAATTTATACTAGGAAGTACATAAATTGATTATAATTTCTGAATGCGCAACTCTTATTCTATCGATAAAATATCGAATTCCATATTAGGTTCGTTGATTAACAGTTTAAAATAGAATCGAACGTCATTCAAATTAAATATCATCCGATGTTGTCTATAAATAGGCTGATCTCTTTTTGATCCATTCATTTGTTTTTCTAATGCGGTTTGGAAATCACAGCAAAATCCACGTCTTGATGCTTTAAAAGTGTTGAGGAATTCATTCTTGTGCTTCTTGAAATTCCTCTTTGAAGTGACAGTCCTCATTTTTGTTATATCCATCCTTTTTTAAATCAAAACATCCCTCGCCCCACTCCGCACACCACTGAGACATTAAAGGTCTTCAGGCACACCTTTCTCAGTTTTTACTTAAGAATTTCCACTTGACACATTTTTTCTGGATCATCTTTCAGTAATGTTTGTGCATTTGATTCAGGCAATCGAAAATGTTTTGAAAGTAAATGCACGGAGTTTCCTGGCTAAACATAAGGATTACGAGCAGTAAAATATGACCTTTAGACGTTGAAATGACTCACTTGCAATATATATTTTCGCTTTTTTTTTTTAAACAATGCCTTGTTATTAATAACCAATACGCTTGTATAAAAGATTAATTTGAACTAGTCTTAATATTTCTAGTGAATGATTAGTTTGGAATAAATTATTTTTTAAAAATAGTCTGCAGTTTAAAATGTTTAAAAACTAAAACAATCCGATGCTAATTCCAGGCGTATAATCTGTTCAGTGCTAAAATGCACCGATGGGATATAAAAGTTGTACTACCCTGAAAATATGTTTAAATTTACTCAGGTTGATTGACTAATTGATTTGTTTCTTTACGGCTGGTCAACTCTTTACGAGTTATTTAAGCCAGATATTATTTTTGCATTGTAAGTAGATAATAATGATTTAATGATACACGTTTTACTATTTAACCCATAGTTGGGAGTAGAATAGGTAGATTCATTTCCCAAAAGTATTTGCGCGTAAGTGAATATGACGAAACTAATGGGAATTGGAAATCAGATAGCCGACTTCCAATTCCAAGCCATTATCCATTACACCACCCGCACATCAAAGCTTACAGCACTTGGTATTCCCAAGCGGTCACCCATCTAGGTATTGACGTTGCTTAACTTCGATGGTCGCACGGGAACCGGTATTTCAATGTGTCAAGTAATATCAAATCTATTATATGCAGATTATATAATCCCGGAAAAAAAGCGATGAAAATGAACCCCAAATATTTGATTTTTCTCATAAGTCTAAAGGAATAGGCTTTTAACTTTTCCCCTATTGTTTACTTAATAGAAGGCACGAGAGCCACTGTAGGTAGAAGGTTGTTAAATAAGATTGTTGAAAGTAGATAACGGTTGACCCGAGACATGAAGAGGTAAAGATTATAGTAATCGGAAAAACATCCCCTCGGAAATCAGTCCCACAAAGTAGCGCTTTTGGGAAAGAAGCTGTCCAAAGGGAACTTCCTACTTACTAATGGAATACGAAGGGAAAGGGGGATGATTCGACCCTTTATAAATGGCATGAGGGGTCTTAGTTGTAAAGGCCTGAACTGGTGAAACTAAATAATGTAACTCGTCAGAATATTTGCCATGGAAATAGCGAATGAGGGATGATAGGCTTGCGACCTTTCGTCTGTGAAAAAAAAAAAAAAAATAAGCGGTATGTTTTTTTTAACGCCAAGCAAAGAGTTTACAGGGAATGAAAATAAAAGAAAATTTTGGTTTGGTTTGGTTTGTTTGTTTAACGGCATATCAACTCTTTAAGGGTCATTTAATGCCGAAATTTTATTCTCTTGGGAGCTTTGGTCATTTCTTTCCCAAAAATGCAATGCTGGAGAATTTTTAATTTTTTTTTTTTACTATGAGAATGTACTGCTGGTAATTTTTTCTAATGTATTTCTATATTTTCATGTTTTGACCGCAGTTTAGAGTTTCACTATTTGTCCATAGCGGGGGGATCCTCAAATCTCAAATTGATTCTTTCAAAACCATATGTTGCGCGGCATCACAGATACAAGCTTATAGAAAAATAGAAATAACCACTGTAACGAGGATGCATTTTTATAATAAGGGATTCCACCGAGTTCTACATTCATGAAGTAGTTGTAAAATAGAGAAATTAGAAATAGAATGTTTGGAAGATTCTAGATCATTCTAGTATATTCGAGAAAAATCTAGATGATTCGAGAAACATCTACAAATATGCAAATTAGGTGTTAGCCCCTATAAAAATGGGATTTTGGAAAAGGGTTGTCAGTTGGTGAAAACAAATTGCTGTCAGTATCAACTCCGGCTTTTGATTCAAGGACCATTATATCCAGCCGAAAGAATCCCTATAAAAAGTTGCCGACCAACCAAAAAGCAAAAGAGAATTTCATGGAACAAATTTGGTAAATAGAATTTTGACTAATTTTCATTGACTAAACTAAAAAAATTAATATTTATTTACACACCTTTGTGGATTTCCAAATATAGCACTTAGATTACTTCACTAGCCCTAAAGTGATAAAGATATTTGACTCCCTTTCCTTCTCCCTCGTAACACTTCGCCAGTAACTCTGTGTTTTCTGTTTTGAGGACACAATTGTTTATCTTGTATATATTTTATGTTCTGTTTTAGTAAATTAAATATTTGTTTGTGATTTTAGCTCTGTGTGGTGGTAAATCTTTTTTTTTTCCTTTGTTACAATTATCAACACGTATCACCACTATATAGAAATGTAACCAATTGGCCTTCACTCGATACTTTCCGTAGCAAATCGTTGAAACTATTTGGACACATTAAAAGATTTAGTGTCTTCAGTACGTATATGGTGCCCTGAAAAAGACGTCGTAGAAAACCAAAACAGAAATGGAAGGATAATATAATTCTATGGCCACCAAATAATGAATGTCAGACTAAAGAAGCCTGCTCAAAATTATAATAAATAACAAGAAAAAAAATTAGTTCGCAATCAATCGCAGCTTGAAACCGCAACTAATGAAATCCTTCTTGGGCGTTAACACCAGCCTGCACTTTTACGTGCATACAAACATACAGATGTCGAATAATATACTACGATACATTATCCCAAGCCTCTTGCACATTTTGACCCAATACAGCAATAATTGTAAATGATACAAGAGTTGTAAATGGGCTAACTGAATGAGCCAGGTGCCGCCCCATCATGTTCGATACCTGTAAAATAGGAGATAGTTCTTGCGATCATGTTGGTTAAGGAAGTTGATGAACATCTTGCAGAGTGGGTTGAGTAGTACAGGCATCATATGGACAGGAATTATCTCGTTGGGTCAGCACATCGTAAGGATGACAGCAGATCTGGTTGAACAATGTTCTTGGACATTGATGGAACCGTTCAGCGCCCACAAGCAACAAAGGCGAGTCTGAGCTATATCATATTAACCTATACCATGATGTCAGTGGTCGGGCCAAAGTGGTCCAATGTTGGATAATATGCATTCAAGGATATTGCTTGACAAGGTCTATATCTTACACGTCACCTATTACCACTTGGTTGAATGCAGAACCTGCTCTTCTCATTGAAGACAAAAGAGCAACTTTCGATGCCACAGACGATACTCTGGCGACAAAACTGAACAAATATTGACAATGTATGGCGTCAGTGAGAATCTGTCTAGAGACACGCGTACCAGTATTTTTGCTTGCAAATGAATGATTTCCAGCAGCAATCGGTGGTGACAAACCCAGAACCCCATTTATTTTGATCCATGTTGTTGACCTACAATATGATCCTTCGTAATTATAAAGAAAGGTAGCACCTGCACATCTCCGTGGTATAACACCTGTTTCCACATATTTCTTTACTACTTTGAACACAATCGCAGTATGCGTCACATTCTGAAACTCGTGCACAGATGTTGCATTAATATAAGTGTTACTGTCACAATATGGCTACAGACTGAAAATTTCAGCAGAATATTTACTATTCACCAGCATTGCATATTCTGTAACTATATTAAAATCTACATCGTTTGTCAAGGTGTTGCAATTTTATTTTCCATCAGTATATATAATTTTATTTTAAAAAAAACATTTAAAACGCTTTTTTTATATAAATGTTCCCAGAATGTTTTTTGACAAAATCTTTTATTCATATAAACTCTTAGTGTTATTATTTTATCCTGAAATTATTTTTATGGCCTTCCGCAAATTTTTGCTAAATTGTGTGTATTCTCTAATGAAAGAACAAGTTCGATTTTGATTCGATGATTTCTTTCAGAAATATTACGGTAACTAGAACTCGTTGAAGCCACTGAGGAAACAATGGATGTTGCATCAAGTGAAACAAATGACATCCTGAAGGCGACAGACAAGCCTAGAAAATCGACAGCATTTGGATGAATTTCACACCCAAACTCTGTCATTATTTGTTGTGTTGCATTTGCATCTTGAGGAAGATATACATTAGTATCGCCGGTCGACTTTGTTGCGCGGACAAAAGGACTTTTTTGTTCCAATGTGTCATTCAAAAAAACCACTCACTGTAGCGTCGCGCAGTAACAATTTGTTCGTGTTTCAAAAAGTTATGATAAAATAAAGTTCTATTTAAATCCAACTAAACACAGAGAAGATATTTCCTCAAGTTTCTTGGGATGAAACGCTGAAGCTTGTTTTGGATCGTGTCGTGATGTTGTGGAGATGAACACACCTCATCAGAATACGACATGGACTCGTCCAAATAGCATGTATAGTGAAGCCGAGAATCGTCAGGAGAGAGCTAGCCGGGAGCGAGCCTTACATCCTTACTACAGAATTCAGTAAGACCACGTCGACTCCAAACGACATTATACTTCATGATTGTGTTATCTTCACTCAATGGAATGAAGACATAACACTGACGACGTGGATTCGAATTCACACGAAAAATAAAAAAATATTTTCTCTCGCTTAGCTGGCGAAGAAAATTCAAAATTCATGGAATAGAATTTTGTGGGGTTCGTGAATATTCATAAGATGACACGGAAGTCGATAAATTCCAAGAGGTTACGACATAATGGTGTTAGATAAAAAAAGAAAAACTACACTTCCTAGTTAAGGACTCCTCGTACGAAAATAATACACTATGGAAGAATTGAAGATAATTATTCAGCAACTATTAGAACAAATGCAGCGGGAGCAGATTGAATATCGAGAACAGTTGAAGGCAATCCTGGAAAAACAAAGAACAGGCAATGCCTCATTTTCATTTTCACCGGACTCAGTTGCTAACTCAATTAGTGAATTTCATTACGTCCCAGAAGAAAACATTACATTCCTATAGTACTTCGGGAAGTACGAGGTCATTTTCATAGAAGAATATCAAGGATGGTCGGATGAAAAGAAAGTACGTCTTTTGTTACGAAATTTGTGCCCCGCTGAACATGAAAAAATATGTGAATTTCATTTTGTGGAATACTCCAGAAAAAGGGTCATTTAACGAAATACAGTGTCGATATTATCAAAAATGTTTGGTGAAAAGAATGAGCTTTTTTTATATACACGTTGGCAGTGCATGAGACTTACTAAGGGCGAAGATGATGATTTTGTCCCATATGCTGGTAAAGTCAACAGTCAGTGCTGAAGATATAAACTGAACGACGATCCTCGGACAGATTTAAATATTTAATCTTCGTTAAGGGTCTAACATCAAGCAACGGTGCGAAAATATGCCCTCGAATCCTTATAAAACTTGAACAGGATTCAAAGTTAACGATGCGGACTGTTGCGGAAGAGAGCCAAAAATTGTCAATTTAAGGCCCGATTCAGCGAAAATCAAATAAAATGGCACATCATAAGTAAAAGTAGTTATAAAAGGAGAATAGTAACAAAAGCAAAAATCCGACAAAAAAATTCTGCCAAACTTAACCCATGCTATGGCTGTGGTGTGCTTTATTTCAGAAAGAACTGTCCATTTAAAAGCAAAAAAGGTTTTAGTGGCGGAAAAACAGGTCACAAACGAAGTTACTGCAAGTCGAAAAGCAAAAGAAATACACAAATTAACTTGCTTAAAGTAGTGCTACCAGCTAAAAAAAACTGGAAAATTCAAATAATAGAAAATTCGTGAGAGTAAAAATGAACAACGCTCTGGTAAGATCTCAATTTGGCACTGGTAGCGATATTACAATTATTGAGGAACAAACTTGGAACA